GCTGATCCTGAGAAAACTATCACTGTTGGCTTTTGAAAGAGAAAAGTTCTCTGTCTGAGAGCATATGTAGAATTCTTGCTTTCCTTTTTGAATTTTTCTGAAAAGTTTTCTCATACTTTCTTAACTCTTTAGAAGGTATAGACCTTATGGTGTCAAATGTATTGTAAATTACTAGACAATAAAGAGAAAAACTTATTTTTTCCATGCTGTGCCACAGTGTCTAGTAGAGTAGAATGTTGGGTTCTTTCTATCTTGTAGATCATGTTAGTGAAACAATTACACTAGATTGATGCACATTGTAGAAAGACACTCTCAAAGAGAGAAGTAGTTTGGAGGAACAGGAAATGTAGAAGGTCAACCACAAACCATTCTGGTTTAAACATAATATGATTTAGCATAACCAGAACGTCAAGAGCTATTATTGGGAACATGGGGAATTTACATCACAGTGGTGCACCAGAGAGATATATATGGCCAGAGCAAAGTAGCTGTGAAGTGACAACCCCCACCACAAGGAATGGATTTTAGTGGACACAGTGAATTTGAGAGCTGGCATGCCATATGCACCCCTTTGCAAAATAAACAAGCTCAAATCCTTGTGTTCTATCTGTAGCTGGTCACATTGTTGCTTTCTTGATTTCTGCTTCAGCAACTCAATCATAGCTAGGGCCTGTACCCTAAATCTCCTACCTTTGGCAAGTGTCTTGTTCTTGACTCACTAGTGATTGATATGGGTATGAGCCTGAATTGTGTTTTAGTAGCCAACATCTCTGTAAGACCAGCAAATACTGCTGTCAGTGGAAAATTCAGAATGGCAAATGATAGCATCAGCAGGGAAGGATAAATATAGACAGTATATTCATATCACTTGTTAGGCTAAGATCATCTCAGCAATGTGGAATTGCTGGTTTTTGTTTGTTTGTTTTGGCTGAAGGATTTATGGTGGCTTAGTCTATTTCCCTTGGTTCAATCTGCCTCTTTCTGAGCCGTTTTAGCAAGGACAATAGGTCTGAGTGTCAAATAAGTGAATGGAAGAAAAGATAGGCAAATGGAATTCAAATATCAAAACACTAAGCATACAAATGACTTTTCACTCATTAGGTTACACAATGCCAGAGTTGCCTATTAATCTAAATAAATGATCAATGCAGTCCGTGGGTAAGTAGCTTTCATGGGAATTAATTAAAGGGACTAGAGGAGACTTAGGAGCAGGACTTTGGAAAGAGCCACAGACGATGTTGTTTTGTGTGTACAGTAATACCTGGTTTTTAATACGGAGGCACTTTTCTTTCTTGTTAGGGAACAGCATGTTGTCAGCAAAATTAAGCCCCAGAATGAAACTTCTTCAAAAAAGGAAAGCCAAAATGAAATCATTTTTTAAGGGTATAAATAAAATAGATCCACGCATTTCCTGACAGCCCGAATGAGAAGGTCCATATTTATCTCAGTAAGCTTTCAGCGTTAGACTTTAGGAGCCAAAGTGACAGTTTTGGACTCAGCCAGACAGTGAGCCTTATATATAAAGACTCAAAATAGATTTCCTTTGCCCCTAGTCCTGCCAAAGAGCCATTTTAGGTGTGCAGGAAGGCGCTGAGCACACTAATGCATAGTGCCCTTATGCTGAGTGGGAGCAATGGATGGCTTTGCCTCACCTGACTTTTCTTGACTGGAATTTAGATCCCCAGAGAATCTGAAAGGTAATATGATATTTCTTGTGATTTCACAGCAGATGTGCTTTTTGCCTTTTTTTTTCTTTTTTATACATGAATTCATTGAAAATGGAGAAGAAAATGCAAAAAGCCTGCGTTGTAATGGAAATAGATAATCGAACTGTGGGCAATCATTGATGCTTTTGATCATTCTGGGATTAGAAGAATTCTTCATACTTGTAGAAATGGACTGTGTCAAAAGATAAGGAATGCAAAAATGGTTTTAAGTAAAATAGGAACTTTCATCCCAAATTTCACTAGAACTCAAGGCCAATTTTTTGTAGTAATATTCTGAAGAGCCTCATAGCTGGGCTCTTTTACAACCTCCTGTTTTTCTTTGACCTTATTCCCTCTCTTCTTTCTCATTGTTTTCAGCTAGAAAAAAAAAAGAAACAAGAAGAAACCAGAGAAGGAGACAAACCATAAGAGACTCTTAATCTTAGAAAACAGACTGAAGCTTGCTGGAGGGAAGGGGGTGGGGGATGGGGTAACTGGATGATGGACATTGGGGAGGGTATGTGTAGTAAAGAGCACTGTGTACAATATAAGACTGATGAATCACAGACCTGTACCCTTGAAACAAATAATACACTATATGTTAATTAATTGAATTTAAATTAAAAAAAATTTGGAAGATCAACTATATGCTTTTGATACTGTGCTAGGTTCTGGACAGAACAAAATGGGGAGAGTATGGGCCCTCTTCTAAAATTTGCAAGTTAAACTCCTATGTAAATGATGTGTGCATTGAGTAATATATAAACTTACACAGGCATAGAATGAAGCAGAGAGGATTTAGGTTTCATGTTTAGGTAAGAAAAAAGTGGGTTTTTACAATTTCCTCAAATTAGTGAGAGAAAACTCTGTAAATGAGATGGGATGACTGCACAAATAGAGCATGAAACTAATGTGACTGAGACAAGCAAAGGAGTGGGTAGCATAGTGAGAGAAGAACAAATGATATGAAGTGGTGCTGAGGGTGGTTTGAGGAAGGACTATTTGAATGCAAGTTAGGCCTAATCCTTCATGTAGTAAGGAGCTATTACAGACTTTCAGGAAGGGAAATGGCATTCATAAAATCTTTAAGTGAAGAGTTAACTTTATCTAAAAGTGTTTGTTCTAGTTTCAGCCTACAGCCTGGGGGCTTCCGTAGTGAGGTTGTAACAGCTGTGGCTTAGATCGTAAGCATAAGTGAGGGGTGGTTTAGGAGGGCATGCTGGCAGGATTTGGTGAGAGACTGGAGTGGAGGACAGGGAACATTAGAATTACTGCAAGGTCTCTGGCTTGGGAGGTCAGATTTACTTTGGTTTCACTTCTTGTGCTGGGGAGGCTGGGCTTAGGAAGAGATGGTAAAAGGAAAAGAGGCAGAGCTACAGTGGGGTTGATCTGAGGGCAGTAAAAGGTTTGATATAAGGAGTTTGCACAGAACTCAAGTGAGGGGCAAAAATCTATGACAGGAGATAGATACCGCATTTTCTCTCTTTCAGCCTGACCTGGGCTTGTATGAGGTGACAGACTAATGTATAATGCGTTTGGTTCTGTTTAATGTTTTGGCTTGTTTCTTTCTAAACACAAGATGATTTGAATGGTTCTTTAAGGATTTCCCTTGTATTTTCTTTTGAACTCACAACCTGCCTCATTAAAGGGATTACATTTTCCCAATGTGAAACTATGTGCAGGTTGAGGTATCTCATTTGATGCAGAAATGCTTCCTGAATTAAAATAACGTGAATAGGAACTCTTAGCCCTAAAATGTGGCATGGAACTTTCTATACCACGTGTGTGTGTGCAACTGCCTGGGCGTTTTCACACACATATATATTGTATGCCCTATACAATTGTAGTTATGTCTAAATTTCTGTACTTTGGCTTATATATTTTGGATGTCCTGTTTTTCTTCGGAAATAGGGAATACACCTTCTACTTCATTTGTACCCCTCAGAGTACAGTATATATAGTACAATGTAGACTGCATAAAATTGAATGTCTCAGGAATTTAAAATTATTGGCTGATCTGAAAAACCACTGTTAAAAATGAATATTTAAAAACAATGATAGAGAACATAATAAAATCTGCACAACCTCAAATTAATTTCATTTTTTGCATTTTTATATTTCAGCTATAAATTAATGCTTATTATGATAGTTGAAGTATTCCAAAATTCTCAGATGTCTTCTAAATCATTAATAAAAAAGAGAATTTTTTCAGTGATGCTGCATTGTTAGATATGTGAAATTGCTCATTCTGTGAAAATTGGTAATCCAAGTATGGCATGTATGCTAATTATCAATTAATGACTGGCTAATTTTAACTCAGCCTTGGGCAAATCTGTTTCTATTTGCTTCCTTGACTATTAAAAAGGGGGAAATGACTCCTGGCCCACAGGCATCTTGGTAAAGATTTTACTCTTTGAAAATGCTTTTCTGTTGGAAACTGCCAGACAGATATTCTCATGACACATTAACCTTGAAGTTGAGCAAGAATAATACTAGAAGTTGTGACAGATTGGTAGGCAGAAATTTTGAAACTAGAACTGGCTGGAACATCAAGATTGACATTACACTCTGACCATTGCTTTTTCTCTCTCCTTTGCCCCTTTTCTCTTTCCCAAGCGAAGTATTGGGGGATAGGAAACTAAGCCTTAACCTTCCTTTAAGAAAGTGACATACTGCTAGTTGCTTGTGGCTTGGGAGGGAAAACAAATCCCCATTTGATTCCTCAGCTTGGTGATTTCCTATGATGCCTGTTTTTGTGAATGATATTTATGGATTCCCCCTTTCCATACAATTGCTTTGGAAAGTTATGTAACTAGACACTGATCTGAAGAGAAGCCAGACCTAGAGGTTATAATATATTGAATTTGTCCAAAGTTGAGTTCCTGTTTACAGGGGGATAGCTTGGGACACTTTCTGCTAGGTTAGCTTTCTCCTTTGCTGAGTCTGAGCACTTGGAATATTTCTGTCCTTGTAACAGATGCTTGAGGAAGACCTCAATATGTCTCTCAGATAATTAAACATTGGGGCTCTGCACAAAAGGACAAGTTTTTATGCATCATTTCTGGGGACATTTTATCATCAGCCCCTCATTTCCACTTTCTCCATACAGCATAGTAAACTATGGTATGGTATTTGAGAATCCTTATGCTTTGCCCTTTCCCACTCCCCAAACCTGATAGAATGCAAGTTTCCATCATTGTCATCCATGTTAGACAGATCTGCTCCATTTCAGTTGCAGAAAACATTCTTAGCAAACACTTACCCAGTGTGTTCAGCAGCAATCAGGCCATTAACGATGATGTAGAAGTTTATTAGAACATGAAGAGAGGAATTACCTACAAGTAATTCTGGAGTGCTGGCTACTAGGAGCCAAGTGCCTCATAGGCAGAAATTCATTGAATAGCATGCATTCATTATATGTTGGCTGCCAGAAGTTTAAGCACTTGAGCTCAAACTTGCCATTAGACCCTCCCCAGCATGCGGGCCACCCACCAGTTGCAAGGCATGATGACACGACAGATAACCCGCCCTCCTTGGTAGCAGTATGGATATGGGTAGTAACCTAGTAAGGGTTCACAGACGCGGCGGCAGTAGCGGTTGCCTCGACGGCAGTAAATACAACAATAACCTCTCTCATCCAGCATGGGGTCAAATTCTATTCCATTTTCAGTCTGAAAAAAGAATAAACTGGGGTTGGAGGGGAAGGTTCACCAAGAAAAGGCCCACTAAGCAGGGAAGGACTACAAGACTACATGAGTTGGGTACTGGTGAGAAGTTAAATTCCTTAGTCTGATAAATATTAATCAAGATGATTATGAATGAGTCTCTTAGGGATTCCAAGTTTCTTAAATATTTTTTTTGTTAAAACAATGATCATTCTCCTTTTGAGGACTTTGATCTAAGGAGTAGTGAGTTTTTGGGGGGCTTCTTGCTATCCTTCTAACAAGAGTAACACGAACGTAACTCACATAGTCATTTATTGGAAGTTCTTCCTCGCTTGTTTGTCTGGCATGGCGGGTCTTTTCCACCTTCACTTGAGGGACCACCCACTGCTCGTTTTGTTCAATCCCTTTTTTTTCATTGGTAGGAAAGTGGAGATCTTCACCATCCTCCTCAAAGTCTTGTAACTCTGAAACTAAGGTAAGAAGCACAAAGTTGTGATTCACCTGCTTTGAAAATGGTTCCCGAAAGAAGTGGTTGGGGTTATGGTGTTGGGAATAGAGAATTTCATTTTGTCTTCTTACTGCCATTATTTAGCCAAGCATGAACCATGTTTCCAGACTCCTACAGCTACAGTTTTAAAGAGATTTCCCAAAACAAATCTGACTATTCCAAGGTACACAGACTTATTCTTTGCTCATTTGGCATCAAGCACTTACTGCTTTGCCTTACTAGCATCCTAATTTTAAAAATGAGGACAGTGGGGTTGGGGGCGCCTGGGTGACTCAGTCAATTTGGCGTCGGACTCTTGGTTTTGGCTGGGATCAGGATCTCAGGATCTTGGGATCAAGCCCCATGTGGGACTCCATGATGGGTGTGGAGTCTGCTTGAGATTCTCTCTCTCTCCCTCTGCCCCTTCCCCCTGCTCACATGCTCTCTCTCTCTTAAATAAATAAATAAAATCTTAAAAAAAAATGAGGACAGGGAACTTATGTGTCTCTCCCACAATGATTTTACCTATGATAGGTGCTCAGTAAATATTTTTTGGTTGCTGGATTTGATTTGGTGCCCTCTGTCTTCCTCCCCTTTCCCCTCTCTTTCTTGTCTTAAATTAAAAAAAAAAAAACCCCTTCTATTTAGAAATAATCTTACATTTTACAGAAGAGTTGCAAAGGTAGTACAGAGTTCCTATATATCCTTTATGTAGTTTTCCCTAATGTTGACATCTCACATAACCATGGTACAATTATGAAAACTAAGAAATTAACATTGGTACAATACTATTAAGTAAACTATAGACTTTATTCAGATTTTATTATTTCTACTAATGTCTTTTAGAAAAAGAACACTAAAGCAGATGTTCTAGCATCTAGTCCAGAATATCACATTGTATTCAATGTTTTTTAAATTCAATTTTCTTAAGCTGCCAAAGAGTACAGTAGTTGCCTACATTGGTTAGAGTGGTCTCTCTTAAGTAATACAGTCATCTAGACTTTCTAGAATGAACGAGACCAGACTCTCTGTTAGCTGGGCAAAATAAGACATCCAGAGACCTTTGTCTTCTTCATGAGCTGACTGGAAGTTGAGAGCTGGACTCATACTCTAGAGCTGCAGCCCTCAATTACTTTTATAGTGATTCCTAAAATAGCCACAAAGAGATCTGTATTATAGCGAGTGTCTTATCTTCTTGGGGGGAATGCCACCATCTGACACACAAAATCATTCTTGAGACAACAGGACATTGTTTTGGCTCTTCTCTCCTCTCTTCTTGGGTTGAGTACATAGTGGTTTGAGGAATAGCTTGGTATCCTGACTGTGATGAATATCAGATGTGCAAAGGAAGGTTAGGTTTTTTGCCATCACTAGTTACATTAGGGTGGCATTACCTTTCCTGGGATATTTAAAAGCTTGTCAGCATTAATTTATCTGATATATAACTTAGCTGTGAAAAATTCCTTCCTCCTTTGGCAGTCAGCATATACAATTTCATCTAAGATATAAGCTGATCATTCTTTTCTTAGAAATGTAGTCTCTAAATGATGGGAATATTAACCTCTTACTGACTTTAAAAAGTGGAGGAGGAGAAGGCATACCTGCTATTAGAGTGGGATTAATCCAATACATGGTCACATTATCACAAATTTCCAGAATTTTGGAATTTTTCAGAAAGTCTCGGTTTTCAATAGGCTTTTCTGCTGGGACCCAAACCACGGACTGTTCAAAAAAAGTTGTGGTAATTTCTTCATTCTGAGAGAAGTAAGTTCAAGGTAGAGATAGGCAGAGAAATTAATAAAATGAGTGAGACATTATGGGATACTGGAAAACACTCTCTTTTGAGTCTGAGTAACAGTTCCAATCCCAGGGCTGCCAGTGAAGTAGCTCTGTTTTGTGCATACAGTAGGTGCCCTTGGGAGAGTTAAGAGCTAATCCCTCTCTGGGGTCTAACGGTAAGGCTGCTTACTGTAACAGGAGTTTTTTCTGCTACTATTTCACTCAACTAGGAAAGTTATTCATCATTTTCTGGGCCTCCCACTGGACCATGTATGTTTTAATTGGGCTTCTGGAACCCTGAATGATTTACATTTGTTTTTGCTCTTTTAAATGGATGTTGTGAGTGCCTGCCATGTTTTAGGCTTGCAACTAAGATTGCAAACAGGATTTGATCTCAAGCTGAAAAATAGCTTGTAATCCAAGCTGGTGAGATCAATTAAATAGCAACCAAATCTAATATTTGGGTTTTACAAGATTTGCCTGTTAATGGTGGCTAGCTGTAGTACAAAATGTTTTTTTTTTGTCTTAAAGTCAAGTCTTCAGTTTATGACTTCACTGGCCTTAACACTGTTTTACTCCTTTCATTCTAGACGTTTACAGTTCGTCTCACAGTGTTTTTTTCTTATATTATCAAGAATATGGCCTTCTCTTTGGTTTCTTGTACTGGCAGTAGTTATCTTGTATACCTACTTCTTATTCACTTGTCTTTTGGGCCTTGACATTTCCTCCTACTCTTAATAAGGCTTTTACTTTTCTTTTTGGTTTCTTTCTAGCTTTATGATTTCAGTGTTTTTATTTGTTCTTTGAAATATGGATTTGTATAATTTTTCCCCTAGTCATTTAAAACTCTCAAGTCTTAGCTCTCTTGCCCTTGAGTCTGTAAAGACCTTGGGATGCGTTGAAAGGGACTGTAGAAAAAATGATGTTGGTGTACTGACTAGCTTTGTTAGCAAAATCAGGGCTATTTATATCACTGCTCTGCATGTTTAGCATGCGCAAACCATAGATACAGTGGTGGAAAGTATGCAGTAAAAGGGGTTTTGTCACCCAGAACTGCAAACTTATTTCATAAAAAAGTCTGTAGCCTGAATATATATATGGATTTTCCTGAAGATAAAATAATCTCACTATCACTAGATAAATACTTATGTTATTTAAAAGATGTGGCAAAATTAATTGAGGAATAAATTAGGGCCAAAATGAGACATTATGGGCCTTTGCCTTTATATTTTTCAGAAAAATTTATCTTGTTGCTTTAGTTCAGGGCTTCATTGCTGGCTGGCCCTACTCAAATGTTTACATTATTTTCTGTAAAAAGCAGCATTTAGTACCTTTTTATCCTATCAATTCTCCTTTCATCTTACCCTTGCCTCCTGCAGTAATTCTTAATATCCTGAAAGTTGTTCTGTTCCTCAGATGCGTTGAATTTATGCTTATTTTTATTGTATTTATGTATTTATGTATGTATTTATTTATTTTTATTAATGTATAATGTACTGTTTGTTTCAGGGGTACAGTTCTGTGATTCATCAGTCTTACATATTCACAGCACTCACCATAGCATATTCCCTCCCCAATGGAATTTATGCTTATTTAAAAAAAATCTTCAAAATTTTTCACTACCATAGGCCTTGAGAGCACAGTATCATCTTTGGAAAAGCTTCTCCTTTTTCTTGGAACTTCTAGGAACAAGGGTTTGTAATTTTTCTGGCCATAAGGAGACCAGTGACATGTCTGGGGGAGCCAATGATAGCTCCGAGACTTGGGTAAAGGAGAGGATAAAGTGCTCCCTATCCTACCTCACCCCTGCCCCCAAAATAAGAAAAACAAAAGCAAAAGATAAATGGGCAGCTGAGAATTAAAATGGACAGAACTATGTAGGAAAATAGTGATAAAGAAAGGGGGAGAGAGAGAAGAAAGAGGTCTTTACAGTGTACAGAGAGGCCACTGTGCCCTTGCCGTAATTTCATTTTAGATTTGCCAGTTAAACAGCAAAACCAAACCAAACAAATATTTGTTTCATCCTAGCTACAGGGGGAATGTGCTGCAACAAGATGGCCTTAGCTAAGTTTCTCTTACTGCTTCACTGACAGCAACACACTGTAGTTACAGACAGAATATCAGGGAAATATTAGAGCTTGAAGGGCTTTAAGGATGGCTGTATTTTAGGTCATAATCCTCCATCTCCCACTAGGCTTTTGGGGGCCATTTAGTGATTGTGCCAGTATCTTAGCTTACCTTACCCTGGCCTGGCAGTATGTTTTCAGAGAATTTGTCTTAGACTGTAGTTCTCATCTTCTTTGCTTTTGCTTTCCCAAGTAAGGTTAAATGCACATTATTCCATTGGCAGCCCAGCATACAATGGTAAGGTGAATGAACCAAAATTTTTTAAAATAAGTGAATGTCACAATATGATAAAAGTAGCAAGGATCTCAGATGGCTTTGGGACTTTTGTTTTTTAAGACTTTATTTTTAAGCAGGATTGTTTTTGTTCCTCCATCTTAGCTCTCTTAACTAGAACTTTGGTTTGGAAGCAAACGTACAAAATGTTAATGACTACCCAGGTATAAAAGTATAGTTTTGCACCTAACAGCACGAACTTTAGTTTTTTGAAAGGCCTGAGTTCAAGATCCCAATCTGCTCTTTACTGTGTGACCTTGGGCAAGTCACTTTTCAGTTCTGAACCTAGTTTCTTCGTGGGAAAATGGGGATAATGATAGCATCTACTTATAGGGTCATCGTGAGACTCAAATGAGAATAAAGCATTTAGTACAATATCTGGCACATGGCTAACACCCAACAAATGATGGCTTTGCCTACAACTATTAATATTCTTACATACCTCATCTATTTCCTCCTCTGGTTCAGAAAATTCAGGAATCACTTTAATCTGAGTTTTGATGAAGCATTTTTGAAGACCTACAAAGTAGATGCCAGTGTAACCCTATAAACAGACAAAAAAAAAAAGACTTACTGAAATAGCCAAAGTTAATGAGTTCCCTGATCTATTAAGGGCCCAGGATGGCAAAATCTGAATTCAAAGGAAAGCTTTGTCTTATAAATCAAGTGGAGGCTAAATGCTAATTTTAACTTGACTAAAATGTTCTACTATTTTAAGTGGGAGCCCTTGGGAAGTGGAATATCCAACTTACATTTTTAAAGTCATGTATTTCCAATGTTTCATCAGTGCCATTTCCACTTCTGAATATTTCAGTTCTGGTCACAGGATCAATTTCCATGTAAATCTTTTTCTTCTCTCCATTGCTGTAGAAAGTGTGCTCCATGTCATATGTCTGGAATAACAGAGGAGAACAAGCTCTAAGATATTCAGTGTGTCCCTTCAAAGGATGCTTTAATTGGGTAATATCTGGGGCACCTTCTCTTTCTGGAGCCTTTGTGGTGAGGTGCCATCTCAACAGCTTACCATTGGGATTTCTCTGAGACTCAGGATTTAAAGTGAGGTACTTTTTGGCACTGGAGCTGATATGGGGATCCCTTCAGAGCCAGTATTTTGTATTCAACCCAACTTGCTGAACTAATCACTAAAATTCCAACAGTTTTCTTGGCAGCCTTGACTAAATAGTGAATGATATTTTTGCAAACCAGCCTGTAAAGTATTTTCCCCTTATGTTAAGCAGAGGGATCACATAAAACTGATGCTGCCTCTTTAAGTTACCACTTCCTTTCCAAGTGCTCACCCCTTCTCTCCCCCTAAAATTCACTGGGGCAGAGAAAGAGATTTGAACACATTTAGAATGCTTAGGTATTGCTCTTTATCTCTTTATCTATCCAGGGCTTTAATATTACCTCAGTAGTCTTGGGTCTGTCTTTTTTAGAATCTGAAGACCATTCACCTTGGTCAATATGAGGTAAAAGACTTACCCTGACCTTAATTGCTTCCTTTTCCCCTTTCAACTCCAGGAAACATTTATTGCCTTCCCCTGACCTTCTCTTTTATGGGCTAATCAAACCCTCTCAGTTTATTCCTGAGTTCTGATTTCCAAACCTAATTCGGTTGGCTTCAAATTCTGTTGTATATAGAATTCAACAACTGTGTCAAGTGCCTTGCACTAAGTAATATGGTATCTTCCAAGAATAGTACCTTGGAAAGGCTTCTTATCAGGTCATTATTGAGTGGTTGCAGCAGAACCCCAGACTCTCTCTGGCCCTCTAAAAGTGACATTTTTTTCCTTAGGACCAAGAGGACCAGTCCCATCAAGTGTCCCAGTTTAGGAGTAAGCCCATTACCTATAACTGATGACACATTTGTAGCTAGAAAAAAACAACAAACCTAACGTAATTCACTACCTGTCACAAACCAAGCCAGACCTAATGGGACCATGAAGAAATCTGTCTTATCCTTGTTGTTAGGATGCCTTCTGCTATCATATTCATTTTTCCTTAGGAAAAAAATTTGGTGAACTGAAATCCTCCTGAAACAAGTCATCTATAGAGCCAAAGTTGCTTTCTAATGACGTGGTTCCCAGTGACAACCTTTTAGAACTTGTACTGGCTTGGGTTGCTTTTTAATGTTTGCCAGTGTCTGTGACTGAATGTTAGTTTAACCTGGTCAGATTTTCCCCAACTCAAGTAGAGAAACACATTGGAAGGGTTTGTAGAAACAATGTTATTTCAAGTGTGAAAAGTCTATGTAGCTGCTGAGTAGGAAGAGACAATGTCATTTACCTCCCTGTAGCTCTGCAGTGCCTTGGACAGGGTCAGTGCTTAAGTATTGAATGTACTCAGTTATTAGGTTTTCAACATGAGTTTTTCCCACCAGTGACATATTCTCATCTTCATAAAGAGACATTTTGAACATTGGCGAGTTCTTTTAAGAGACCGTACTTTAAAAGGGGAAGGAAAATGGTATTTACAACCTTACAGCAACTGCAGAGTTAACTCAGGAAGTCTGGCCTGGTTTGTGACAGGTAGCAAACAAATTCCTTTAGGCTTGTTATTTGCTTCTAGTTATAAATATGTCCTCAATTTCAGCTCTGCAGCCAGCTTGAGAAACTTCTACCTATAGCAACAAATTGTACTCTCAGTCCACCTGACCTAAGTAGAGGACAAAGGCAACAACTTGAGATCCGGGCTTGTCAGATCTCCCAACAGAAGCGAATTTCTTCAGAAATATTATCCATTGTTGAGACAAATGTCGACACTACTAGTCATTGGGGGTGGGGTGGGGTGTTTGTTTCATCAGTAGCACTACTGATGGATTATTGCATGGAAAAATGAGGTTAGAGACCAGGGGATGTTGGAATGCTGCCTACCTGGGCAAAAGAAAAAATAGAGGCTGTATTTTCAATCATTGGTAGAAGACTATGGAACCATACTAGTGACATTTAGAATTTCAGTGTACTTCTGTGGAATGAGTTTCCCTGCACTGTTGGCAATACACTTCACTTGGACACCTTGCTAGATGAAAGCTGTTGGAAACAGCCAAACTCAGTAGATCTTGATTACTTTCAACATTCCTTCAAAGAAGTTTTTTTGTTTTTTTGTTTAGTTTTTTTTTTTAAGGATTTTATTTATTTATTTGACAGACAGATCACAAGTAGTCAGAGAGACAGGCAGAGAGAGAGGGAGAAGCATACTCCCCAGTGAGCAGGGAGCCTGAAGCAGGGCTCGATCCCAGGACCCTGGGATCATGACCTGAGCCGAAGGCAGACGCTTAAGGACTGAGCCACCCAGGTGCCCCTTTTGTTTAGTTTTGGTTTGTTTTTTGCTTTGGTGGGGGAGAAGGGGTCCATTCTGATTGTATTCACTAACCAGATTATTGGATTTTTTTTAAAGCAATGATAGGTTGCTTAATGGAGTGAGATCAGAATGACTTCATTTATGTGTGAATCCTGGATGAGGGGTGGGGGGTGGAAAGCTATATATTCACCCAGATGGAATTCTACTATCAAAGGTGTCCTTTTGGAACAGACTGTCCTTGTCTAGGAAGATGATGCCGGTGGCCCACTTTGGACCATTTGGGGATGGGTTTGAGCAAATCCAGACATACTGTCTCGCCCAGGTCCCTGTGGAGCACATTGCCTGGGTAATGGCTATGCAAGCTCCATTGGCCCATATGGAGACTGAGCTCATGACTTTGGCTTCAGAAATACTTTTCTTTCTACTAAGCTCACTGGCTCAGGGGCTGAGGGTCTTTCTGGAGATGAAGGAATAAATGGTTTTGTCCTTTCCAGGCACTAACAAAGCAGAGACAGTATGACTGGCCTGAGAGATGTATGACTGGGCTCTTAGTAGCTCATCTCACAATGCCCCCCAACTCAGCTTTACTTCCAGAAGGACGGAGCAAAGACAGAGTGTATTGAGGAGTATCTGTCAAATTGGCAAATAGGGACAATTAATCACTGGTGTTTCTAGGAAACCTAGTTCCTTTCATATCCTGTTCATTTTGTACCCTCCTAGTCCTTCCCCTTCTTCCTATCTCCCTCTACCCCTTTGTCTTTTGTCTAGACATCTAGGAATCTCATGGTGTGCCAGGCCTTTTATGTCAAAGAAGAAATCAATTTGACAAATGATTTCACACTAAGATGATAGTGATGGGTATTTGTATCTTAAAAAAATGAGTGCAATATTTAACTCAAAGGAATGAATTACTAATGATGGATTTTAAGCAGAATGACACCAGGAATAAGATATTTTGAAGACAAGGGCATCCTTCCAGCACCACTCAAATAGGTTCCTATTCTACCCATATGTAGGGCTGGCCTTAACTATAAGGACCAGAAAACTGGAGCGGGACAGGGAAGACCGTGGACTGGAATATGACTCAGAAGTGAAATGAAATAGCTATGTGATTACGTTTAGGCACCGAGAGACGTAAGAAGACCACAGTGAGAAAACATGGAGCAAAACCAAACTCATTTCTCTTCCCTGCCCAGGACTTCTTTCCTCAATCCAGTTAAAGCCTCCACTCAGGTAGCAAATGAGCCCTAACAACCCCCTTCCACAATTTCCCCTGTTTCTTGCCTCAATTTGTGGCAATTTCTGAGATTAGAAAAGAAAGCTTTTTATAAAAAATAATGTTGTCTAAGACCTCAGTGTGATGGATCTGTTTTGGGGCCAAGTACCTTTTACCTTTCCTACAAGGGATTTGAGGACATTTGGCTTAGGCTTGCTTTTAGAAGCCTGTGATTAATCTAGCTGCTCTTCTCTCCACCTTCATCCTTTACTGTCTGTTTAGGAGGTACACTCTCCAAAGGTGAAATACATGCTCAGAATAGCTGGCTAGCAGGTGTTAGGATGGAAGGAAGGGAAGGGAATGCATTGTACCATTTTATTACCAATGTAGCCTGTGGGAATTAAAGGGCCTCTGGGTATTTCTTTACCAACACAGAGCAGACAGATTGTTTCTTATGCAAAGTTGGACTTCTGCATCTTCAATCACCAGTTCTCAGCCCTGAAAAAAATTGGCATAAGCAGCACAGACATTCCTGTTTTTCAACAAGAAAAAACCATTTCTTTCATCTACAGACTCAAGCTGGCTGGGAAGTTTTCCCATACCCACTGTCCCCACCGCCCCTTATTCTTAAATGCAACGTAAGATTAGTAGAAAAAATCCTTAGACCACGTGTTAGTCCAAGCCTCAACTTTGCCACTTAAAAGCTGTGTGACCTTGCACAAGTCACCAAGTTTCTCTGGAGTTTCAGCTCCCGTCTTTATCTCCCATGCCTTACCAGATGCAATGTTGAGTAGTTGACAGAATTAGTTCTGCTCAGATTTGGGCTAACACCTGTTAGGCTGATGATCGGACTGCGGCTACCTGTTGATGACCTGGGCTTCTTTCCCTATACAGCCCCAATCCCACTCTCAGTCTCGAAGCTCCCTTTGAGGAAGCAGGTTTTCCTTGCTGGCGCCATGTAAGCTGCTCAGCAAATGCTGCCTTAAGAGAATGAAGGACTGAGTAAGAAAGTGCTCTCAGTAGCCAGAGTCCTGGTACACATAACTGATGCTTCCTCTTAATAGCCCAGAGCAAGAGCTGCCCCAGTGAGAGCTGCTGTTTGTATGAGGGTGGGCTTTGTTCCTGTGATAGTTTGGGAGGAAAATAAAGCGAAGAGAAGTCTTCTTTTTAAAAATGCCGATGTGGCACCATCTGGTGAAGCTCAGTCCCTCTGCTAAAGAGATTTCTTTCAGCTACGACTCCAACTTTTCCCTTGAGTGTATGAATGCTTCTCCAGATCCACATTTTACCCACCAAACTGCGGTGTAGGAAAGCCCAGGGAACTCAGGAAGGAGAGTTGTATCAATTGTATGCTAACAAGAGGAGTAGAAGAAGAAAGTGGGTCTCCAGCCAATGCTAGCATTAGAGAAACAGGCACAGGAAAGCTGGATCCAGACTTAGCAGGGAAGTGTTTTTTCCAAACAAAGGATTTTCAGCCTCCAGTGATAACTGGGCTTGCAATCCTGGGTGAGGCTGTCTTAATGATTATCTGCAATTGAGGTTACGGAGGAGAGGGCAGACAGATGCCCAAATAGCCCTATCAGTTCTCTTCTCATCCTGATAATATGTGGAAGTTAAGAGGATGCTCCCAGTATGTGGAAGTTATGAGGACCCTCCCAGTAATCTGTTTATTGCTGTGTGGGCCTTACGACTTACGGTTTCTGAAGAGCCCTAATAAAGTCACCAGGCAGTTCCTGGGTATGGCAGGAAGTGCAGAATTTCATTTATTTAATATATCATCCTTCTGCCTCATTCTTCAAAGGATTGGAGGGACTAGTTTATAAGGTCTGTGATGTATCTATAAATTGTTGGTTTAAATGCCGGGATTTTTATGACTTGTTTTCTCCATGTTGGATTAATTAACTGGGGAGTTGGCTTCTAATTGTTTCAAGTTAAATGTGTAAGGCAGGGGGGTTTAAGAAAGAATGTTCCTCTAGGGAATTGGCTTCAAAAATCCCTAAGTAGTCACTGCCTGGAAGTGGAGCCTCATTGTGATGCACTCTCAAAATTTCTGGGACTGAATAAGTCCCTTCTGCTTGGTTGAGAAAGCTGAATATAGAGTTTGATGGTCTGGCTTTCATTCAGCTCAAGTGGCTCCTATATGTGGTTGTGGGTTAGGGGTCTTTAGCCTGTAAGGGAGTGCAGCAGCTATCCCAGAATTAATCCCTTTTGTTTCACCTCATTTTGATGACTTTCTGTTTCTGGAGTGTGTGTGTGTGTGTGTGTGTGTGTGTGTATGCAGGTGCATGTGTGTTCATGCTTGAAGTTAGGAGAGGGGATCAAGCATGGCTTACCCCCACTTTAGGATCAAGAATCTGGAATTTTGTACACACCAAGGTGGGAGGTAATGGCAGGAGAAGAATGACTTACTGTTAGGGAAATGCCAACACCAGATGTGAGACGTTGAGTAAATCCTGTTTATTTTAAACAGATGTCAAAAAAAACAAAACAAAACAAAGTAAAAAGGAAATATGATGGAGGCTAGAGGAGCAAATACTAAGAGCTTGGAGGAAACCCCAGGGGAGCAAACAAATCACTCCATCCATAAGCACAATAGCATCAACAATTCTGTCCACCAAGGGCCCCACAGTCCCCACAGGTCTCATAGGCTTGTAAAGGAAAGTCTAGAAGAGTCTGGATTTTAATTGGTTAACTGTTGTTTCTCGCTAGACCATACTCTTAAGGGGAGAGTCTTTAATTTGTGCAAGGTGCCTGGATCCTTTTCCTTTGCAAGTCTTCTTCCAAGACTAATCTGACTACTTTTCTCTTCCCAGGATTCGTCAGTCAGCTCCAAGTCAGGCATATTGGCAGTCTTAGCCCTTGGAAACATAGATGGTCTCTTGGGCTCTTTGTCTGGGGATTAAAGGTAGTGGTAGACTGAGGGAAGCATTCACATCTCCAGCTGGTTCCTTAGTTTGCAATGGACCCAGCCTGGTCTTGTGGCAAAGGCCAGGACTTAAATATCCAAGACAATAAAATGCAACTCCCCAGTTGGAATGGAGAAAAAATAAGCTTGTTTATGGTGGAAAAAGTTGACCTAGGTGATACCTATTGTCTTTTACCAGATTACTTTGCAATAATTTTGTTCATTTCTGAGAATACCTTTGCTCAAAGGCACATCCCAAGATGTATTACTTCATGAGAGATTTGATTCTTGATAAACTTTATTTGATAGCATACCCCACCTCTTTTATGCATACACTGACTAGGTTTTACTTTTGGTTTGAGGAGTCACAGAATTGTTCCTTAAAATGCATTAAAAGGAGAACTGAAGTGAGAAGCAAAGATGATATAATACGGAAGCAGAGGAAACCATGGATCCTATTAGTGAGTTTCACACCTTGCAAAATAAAAGCAAGGTCCCACTTAGTCATTTATAGTTGTGCTGAGACAAATAACATTAGAAGTTTAGAAAAACACATAAACTCTTTCAAAATAGCATTTGCAGCACCAACAGCTACAATAAAACAAGAAAGGCCATCTGGCCCCATGTGTAGTTAGGCTTATACAGGTGGGCAAAAGGGCTAGATACCTACTACACTGAGTTAAGTACATTATGGCCATGGAGCACAAAAGAGTTTATTGTCCTCTAACTCACCTATAATTGTCTAAAGGATCCAATATTCAATTTGTGGGGCAGCACATCACCGAGGGAATTAGCTAAGTGGTAGAAGAATTGGATTGGAATGCATTTTGGCACTTTTATTCATTTGCTGTTTCCTTTCTGATCTGTATTTCTTTGCCCACCTTGATAGCTTGCATATAAATGGCTTCTCTAGAAAAATATGTGAACAGAAAGTAGTTTAGAAGCAGGACACAGTGCAAGAGATGAGAAGGAGAGAAAGAGAGAGAGGAGGAAGAGAGAGGGGGAGAGAATGAGAGAAATGGCTAACTACAAGCATTGGGTGATGTCTCAAATCCTTTCTGGAACAAGGTGTAAATAAAAAGGCAATCAAACAAGATGGGTCCCTTTGATTTTCATTCTCCTTCCTACTTAAACTTGGTAAGATAGCCTATGAGACTAAATGAAAGTGGGTATGGCAATAGAGGTGAAGAATCCAAGGGTAACTATGCCTTATTTCTCGGTTTTCTTTTGGACACCGGTCCAGTTAATTTTCTCTTTTCTGCCCTCTTTCAACAATCCATATGCTTTCCTCTTGGCTCCTATCACTCCTTTGGCTCCCAGTAGTCCACACCAGCCCATTTTCTTCTTATCTCTCATTCTCCCACCTGGATATATGTTTTTCTCTTCCTACATCTGTTATCAAATAGAAATGAGCATCTCATGATAACAAATTAATTAAAAAGTAACAACAATCCACATGCAGAGAGAAAAATATGGCAAAGACAGAAAACCATCTATACACCTTGTAGCGTTTACATTTATTACTTCTCCCTTAAATGGAAATTGTTAGCATGAAGGAGCTATTATTTTCCCTTCATCACATCTAAACTTGCTCACTGTATGTGAGTCTGGGAGTAACAATAATATTAAGGTACACTGATATCAACTACAGTGGCCAGCTAGGTATACCAAGTGATCTTAATAGCAGAAGCTTTCTGAGATACCTGTGATTAATGACTTGGTGTCTCTTGTTTCTACCTTGTGTCATTACTATCTTAGTGGGTCAGTGACAACTGTGACTGGTGAGGAGCTGAAAAGCTCTCTCTTTTTTTTTTTTTAAGTCATAAATACATGTGAAGTCAGGTATGAGAATTGCTTCTTCTGAAAAGGAGTTTGCTGCCTGTCCTCAGAGCAGATGCATTAAGTCAGAAACATAATCCCTGAAAATCCTTTGCTGCCATTTCTGGTGATTTTTTCTTATGTGGTGGTGTAATTACTTTTCTATCAGTTTCTGCCCAGATAATTGAAAAAAAGATGAAAAGTATTTTTTCTTACAGTAAAAATTTTGCTTCTAAGAGGAGTCTTAACTTCTTAAAGCCAAGCATTATAAAAAAGTGGGTAATTCTACTCCTATCATTATTAACCGAAATACAGAAAACATAGTTTTCCCTTACCAAAATAATTAGGCAAATAAAAGAAAGCAAAATCTTAATTCAATTTTTCATACCATCAGAAAATATATGCAAAATGGACTTAATGATTTTCATTTCAGAGTAATATACATGTCAAGCACTAATTAAATTCAATCAAACTCAAAACAGAAGCAGTAGATATTAATGTGCATTTACTTACTTTTTTGGGTGTCTCTGGCCAGAAGTGCTTGCCTCCCCAAAACAGGACAATTAGAGTTAGGGCCAGGATACCAAACACCAATCCACAAATCTTAAGTGATTTACATATCTTCTTGGATTTAAAAGCTTCTGCCTAAGCAAAGAACAGAGAGAATAAAACGATACACTAGCTCTTAAAATAGCAAGCCATAATTCAAAGTCACCTTTGATTTCACTTTCTAATGTTCACATTGCGATATGATAAATCTGTGAAACCATGTTTCTGCTCAAAAGGGAAAAAATATGAATCAACTTACATTTAGAATGTGACAGTCCTCACAGTTCTCTGGAGGATTCTTTGCCATGCTCTCTCAGCACACAGTACTCTTTTCCTGCTTTGAGAGGACTGAGAGACCACTGCTGAGGTGGAGTTGCAAGTGAGTCAGCTAACAGATGCCAGAGGAGAAGCTGAATTTATATGGCTCAAATATGTCATACCAGAGCCTGAAGGAGCCCAGGGGGCTCCTGTGCTGCGATTTGTTACATAGATATACCCATATATGTATATAACTTCTGTGCACAGAATTCCATCCAGAATGGCAAAGACAGAAGGTTATAATGAAAACTATTGTCCTGGGGGTTGGCTTGGAAGGGGACCAAGCCTAGGACACATTGAAATGATTTTTCACTATGAACTTAAAAAAATATCAGTGGCACATGTGCTGCATACTCCAGAAATAAGCAAACAAAACAAAAAAAGGAATGAAGTCCTGATTTCAATTCCATTTGTTTTTAACAAATACTTATTGCAGGGATATTAAATGTCAGGCACTGTACTTGGTGTTGGAGATTCAGAAATGAATAAGGTACTGCCTCATCCATTATGATAAAGCTCTTTGAGGACTGAGATCAATATGTAATCAACTAATTACAGTTAAAAATGGGATTAAAAGATTAATGATACATTTTCTCTCTCTTCATACTATCTGATTATTTTCCTTTCCTGAATTCTTTTCCTCAGCTTGTTCTTTAATGTTAATATTCCTTATGGTTCTATCCTTGATGATCTTCTAACTCTATATATACTTCTTAAATGATCTCACCACTCCTATAGTTTAAAGTGTCAGCTATGTATCAATTATTTTTAAAATCTGTTTCTATAACCCTTTTCTATCTCCTGAATTTCAAAGCCATTTTAATACCTCTACCTGGATGTACCTCAGAAACCTCAAACTCCACATGTCCCACATAAACCTCTTCTTCTTTTGAAACCCCCTTCTCCCAACCTACTCTCCTCCATATTCTTAATCTTGTTTGGTGGTTTTATTAGTTTTCTAGAGCTACCATAACAAAGTACCACAGACGGGGTGGTATGAACAACAGAAATTTATATTCTCACAATTCTAGAGGCTGGAAGTCCGAGATCAATGGGTCAGCAGAGTTGCTTTTTCCTGAGACCTCTCTCCTTGTTTTGTAGATGGTCTTCCTCATGTTCACATGGCATTCTGTATCTATGCATGTCTATGTCCTAATTTCTTCTTATAAGGACAACAGTCTTATTGGACAAGTCCCCTGCATATGACTTATCTCCAAATGCATTCTAAGATAATGGGTATTAGGGCTTCAGCATATGAGTTTGGTAGGGTGAAGGGCACAATTCAGCCCATAACAGTGGAACGATCACCCACCTAGGCTCCAAAGCCAGAAAACTGAAGTTTGTTCCCAACTCTCCTTTTTCACATTCCCTTGATCTAGTCAGTCACCAAATCTTATGGATTCTAAATTCTTATATCCTTCAAAGCCACTATTTCCTCTCTATACTGACCATTAAAGTTTAGTTTAGGTCTCTGAGAGGTTTCAAGTCCACACTGTTCTCTTAGGGCTCTAGACCCATGTGTCTATTCTGTTGGATCTCTTCACTTAGATATTTCATAGGCAACTCCAATATCACATGTTTCAAACTGAATTAATTATCTTCCCTTCCAAACACACCTTTCTTTCTATATTATCTCCCTCATTAAATGACAGGATGATTAGTCTTTAGAATAGAAATCTCCAAATGATCCTTAGTTTTTTCTTTCTTGTTCATCCCCAAGCCTAATCAATTATTAAATCCAGTCAATTTTGCCTTTGAATTATCTTCCCAATTCTCAATCTCCACTGCCTTAGTTGAGGTTTTCATAGTTACTTTTACTGTTGCATTAGAATTCTAACTGGTTTCTTTGCCTCTAATCCATTGCCTTCAAGGTGATCTTTCTAAGAAGCAAATCTGAGGATAATCTTTCCCTTGCTTAAAATCCTTTCATGTCTATTCACTGTCTATAAAGTCAAAGCTACTTATGGTGACATCATAACTATTTCATGGTCTGGACTCTGTCTTCGTCTCCAGCTTTGATTTTGGACAATTTCTTTCATAGAGATGAAGTCAGCTGAGAGGTTCTCAACTGGGCAGGGCCATAAGGCATGTACATGAGACTTTATCCACATCCTAATGTTTCAAAGAAAAATAATTTTCTGTTTCAGGCATAACTATGCATTAAATTGATTATGTAATTTATGAAATATAGTTATGGTTTTATTTGTTTTATACTTTTTTAACCAAGCTTAGAAAAAAAGAGAAAGTCATAAGAGTAGTCTCATGAAGAAACCTATGTTTACTATGTTAGAAGATTTCCCCCTCCACAGTGTTACACTAGGCCTCCTTATACTTCACCCTTTATTAATACTGAGCACCCTCTGCTTTTTCACACTATGGAGTATTTTACATGTTATACTCTTTGCTTGGATTTCCCTTTTTTGTTCTTTCTTTGTATCTTATTCATACTTTAAATCTTGCACTTATTATACTGTATTATAGTTCACTTAAAGATGTTTTGCTCCTGAACAGACTTTGAGATCTTTAAAAACATGCTTTATTTGTTAAAAGTATTTAATTAAAATAGAGGTCAAAGCAATGTGTCACAGAAGGATGGGGTGATGATTAATTCTGATTCAATAGAGCAGGGAAAATGGCATAAAGCACATGGATTTGCAGTACATTGTCCATTTATTAGCACTGTTTATTCAGTGCTCTATATGTGGTAGGCACTGTTATAGGGGCTGAACATACATTTAGACAAGACAAACACAGTTCCTGACATTATAAAGCTGTGTCTAGCTGAGGAGACAGAAGTTAAACTGAAAGGAATAAGATCCTGTAAATAAAGAAAAAATATAAATTATGAAACATGCTAAGAAAGAAAATTTCAGGGTGTCATGACATCACCTAATTTGAATTGGAGGTGTCAGGGAAGTCCATGCTGCCATCAATGTCTCTTAAGCTCAGACTTGAAACATGGAAGAGGACAAGTTTGGGATGATGAGTATGGTTTTGGACATGTTGAATTTGACGTGTGTATGAAGCATACAAAAGAGGTCCAGTTGGCAGTTGGGCATATGTGTTTGGAGCTCTAAAGACAGTCCCTGGAGTGGAAATATACAGGTATACTTCATTTTATTGTGCTTTGCTTTACTGAGCTTCATACATATTGCGTGTTTTACAAATTGAAGTTTTGTGACAACCCTGAATTGATCAAGTCTATTGGTGCCATTTTTTTCTAATGGCATTTGTTCACTTTGTGTCTCTGTGTCACAATTTGCTAATTCTTATAATATTTCAAACTTTTCAATATTATACTTCTTATGGTGATCTGTAATCAATGATTATGACTCAATGAAAGCTCAGGTGATGGTTTACATTTTTTAGCAATAAAATATTTTTTAATTAAGTCATGTACATTTAGACATAATGCTGTTGTACACTTAATAGACTATAGCATAGTGTATAATAACTTTTATATGTCCTGGGAAACCAAAATTTTCATTTCATTCACTTTATTGTGATTTTTGTTTTATTGCAGTGATCTGGAACTGAACCCACAATATCTCTGAGGTATGACTGCAGATTTGAGCCATTTGCCTGTGGGTGGTATTCAAAAGTATGGGGGTTGATGACATAGTATAGAGGAAGAGTGCAGAATAGAAAGAGACAAAGGCTCAAGACTAAGTCCGAGGGAATCTTCACTTATTTATTTAAAAATGTACTTTTAGAATGTATTTTACATTTATATAAAAAAGATACATACTCATTATAAAATATGCAAGCAATATAGAAAAGCACAAAAAAGGGGAAAAATCCTTCCAAATCTACACCAACCAAGAATAACCATTATTGGGCCTGAGTTTCTTTATCTGAATAAAGGAGGACAAAAATAAGATTGCTGTGATAATTTAATGAGATAACTCATTTAAAATGCTTATTCTGTTACTTGGAAGATCATAAACCCTTCATAAGCATTAGCTACTAAGATAAATGCATGTTATTCTGGGCATCAATTTTATTATGTAGGATTAAGAAATGAATAGAAAAAATTAAATAGAAGTAATATACATACTATTTTTAAAAGTATGAAATTTTAAAAATTGCTTGAATTGAACAATAGAAAAATAAATTAAAGTGAAAGGACTTGATATACTTCAGGTAAATGTTTCTTTCCTCTCAAAAAATAGAAGTTTCTGAAAGATTATTTTAAAGTTAAGATCAAAGATTTGAAAAATATAATGAGCTTGTAGTCATTACATTACATTTTCATTTCCATGTTTCAATTTTTGATAGTGTTGACTGATTCCCTGGGTGATTGCTTAAGAGCATGTGTTCTAGAGATAGTCTGCTTCAGTTCAAATCAGATCTTCTAATTAACTAGCTATAAAGTGGACAAATTATTTAATTCCTACATGCATTAATTTTCTTATTTCTAGAATGGTAATTAAAAAGTGCCTACTTCACTGAGTTGTGAGTGATAAGAGTTAATATGTATAAAATACGTGGTATAGTGACTAGTAAATAAACTATTATTATAAATATGAGGACATGAGCTATCATGATACATGACAAAATGAGGTCCCTTGCACTTCCCCCTCCTATCTCCTGATTTTTGTTAGTTATTTTATTATTTTTACTTTCTGTTCCCCCCTGTCAAATTCTTTAAGTTATTTGGTCTTGGTTCTGTGTTTAAATGAATTCGATGTTTACCATTAGTTCTCTTATCACAGCTTCTTTATGCCTGAGTTATTTGTTTTGATATATCTCTTGTTTGTCTATATTTTCTCACTTAC